GCACGAATATCCGGTTGGACATGCTGATGATACTCCTGGTGAACACTGCACAACAGCGCCTTGCTTCCGGTACGGTGTTCCAACGGCACACGGATTCACTAAAGAGCAAATTTTCACTGTTGGAAGCGGAACTATTCGCATGATTTGAAATCAATGCGATTTTGCCTAGAGACTATGTTGTGCTACTTCAGCAGTAGTGGTAGTTGATATAGTCTCAATTTGCATAGAAACTTGAATGGAAGCATGAAATCCGACATTGCTACCAGGAGGTAGAAGAATTTCTTTGCTGCTTTGGCTACAATAGGAAAAAGAAGAAATGGCATAATGGCTAATAGATTTTTCGCTCATCTACCGACTTAGTGATAAATGGACAAAAATTTAAAAAATGCTACTGGACAAAGGGAAACAAACCAAAGCAAGCGGATTCGCAGTCTTGCTGATTCAAAAAATTATTTTCGTTGCCTTGCAATCCTCTGTATATGAATGGTTCGCACTGCTCTGAATTGACGTTGAAATACCATCGCTGCAAGTTTGCATTACCAATTCCCGTGTTCAGTGCTTGGCTGCAGCGATCACCAAATGCTAAAAAATCTCGGGCGATAACGAACGTTACAACTACTGTGCCCTGCTTCCCAAAATAAAAACTATGTTAGCGGCGCAATAATAATTGTTTTTATTGGATTTGTGAAGAGACAGTGGATGATTGTACCTGAACATGCACAGACCGCCAGTTTTTTACCACACAATGATCCTAACAGAAACTACCACGACCTCAAACTTAAAGTTTACCCAATTTTGGGACATAAAATCAGCCTAAATTTAAGCATACTTAAATTTAAGCATGCCCTGGCTGAAGGACAATGCTCTAGCACACCCAAACGGTAAGGAAAGAAAAAAGTCTCTTTTTATGAATCGTAAAAATTAATAGTCATTTTCCGAGAAAACATCAGTATTTTGGTTTTTTTACATTAAGTTTCATATGAAATTATCAATAATTTTCAGCAGTAGTACTTTAATGGATGTATGAAACAATGTTATCCAACAGTTAGTTTAAATAAAAATGCTGAAACAGCATGCTTCCCAAAAAAAAAAAAAAATTCGATAAATCCGCCTTTCTCTTCCTATAAAATTTTGGTCACGTCACTGAGCTGTATTTGTGCTCCTATTTTAACTCATTAATTTACATAGTTCCAAGAGTGGATAATCCGGATCGATCCAGACCACACGCACGCACATACATACATACTTGCACGCATACACACATGCGTGATCTTAACACAATATCATAATTAACTCAAAACAAAAAAGTGGAAACAAAAACACACGTGATCGATTACAGCAGACAGTGGTTGGTGGAGACTGACCAATGTGACAAAACTGACTGGATCCACATGGGTCGTTCATTACGTTACTGCCATGACAGGGAGTTTGAGGGAAGCTGCTACCGTATGCGCATGGACTGGGGGTCTCTGTAAAAACAACGACACATAGGATTCCTTTGAAGACTGGTAGTGAAATTGTCTTTTACTAATAGTCCACATCTTGGACGATTTAAGTGCAAGGTATGTGCGAATGCCAGCGATGAAATGTAATGTTCTGCGTGATTTTGCTGTCGAATGGCAGCACTTCGGTCAAGCAGGACCGAACAAAAAAGCGTGCAGCAAGCATCTGTGCGGTAAATGAAAAAAAAAAAGCTGGCAAATAATCAAAACGGGCAAAATTGGTTTGCTTAGTCTATGCAATTTTTGTGCTGTTGGTGCATTTAGCTGTAAACCTGGACACTGCTGCTGGCACTGCTGTAGGCTGCCGAAATTATTTCGGTTTCCGTTAGCACCGCGGTAGTAGAACTGCTCGCACTGTTTCGTGGATTTGTTGAAATAGTATCGCCGCTGTTGCATGACTCCGGTTCCTTGATCCATATCCTGACTGCACGGATCCACTGCAACCTAGCGATAAGCATGCAACTTTCATGCTAGCATCAAAAATTCTAGATCCAATAGAAATGTGACAGCCTAGACCTCAGCATCGGACATTCAATCATCCAGCATTAAAGAAGTGCATGAAAAAAAAAAGGATAAGTTTAAAGGCATGGAGTTAGCCAAAAGAATCGTGTTAGGGTCTCTGCGTGCAGAGGATGAATGGACTGTCAAAATAAAAAATAAATTGGGTAGGCATGTAATATTTGTGACCTTCACATAGCCTCTGACAGTTGTGAATGGTTGGAAAGTTATTGCCATTCGCGCAA